ATTCTAGAGTCCTCAGCCCATGTAGAGGGCAGTGACGGGGACTTCTGTTTATCAGGGTAAAGGAAATCTTCACTGGAGAGCGTTACCCATGTAGCAGATAAAGGCTGAGTTCTTTCCATGGTTGCTGTTTTAAGTGTAGGTTTAATCTTCCTATCTGTTCCAGAAAACTACAGAAAATAGGCATTAGGCTTGTATGCCTAAGCAATAGTCTAGTCGGGGACAAACTGGATTTACTGGCTCAGGAATCTCCCCACGACTGATGTCTCTGCAGTGCAATGGGGAGCCACTGAAGGCTCTGAAGCAGAAGAGTGGCGTGATCCAACCTTTATTTAAAGGATCATTCTGTTGAAAATCGATCAAGGGACCAAGGGTGGAAGTGAGAAAACCAACAGAGAGGCCATTGCAGTCATTCAAGAGAGAAGTGAGGGTGTCTTGGACCAGGGTGAGTTATCATAGGGGTGGTGAGGAGGTGTCAGATTCTGAATCTATTTGGACAGGAGAGCCAGATGGATTTGTCGATAGTCAGATACAGGATGGAAGAGTACAAGTGAAGTCAAAGATGCCTCTGGGGTTTTTGACTTGAACAACTGGGCAAATAAATGGCACTGCCATTTGCTGAGAGGAGAAAGGCAGAGAGAAGCAGGTTTTGGAGGGGGAGCAAGAGCTGTTTTAGACAAATTAAGTTTGAGAGGCCTATTAGATATTATAGATGTTTAGTAAGCATTTGGATGTGGTCCAGACTCCAGAAAGAACTCTGTTGGAGATAATAAATTTGAGAGTCGTCAATGCTGAATATTGATCTTACCAAAAATTTCAATACAGCTATAATGGGAGGAAGGTGGGAGGAAAAAGTTTATGTGTACTTGGGGGAGGGCTAGATAAGAACAGAGTATTCATCTTCTACAGCAGGGACTCAGTGGTAGGTAGCTAATGGGGGGGGAAAATCACAAAATAGCTGTATAAGCATCATAAGAAGCTATTATCACATCTGCTCAATGTCTTTAAAGTTTCCTTCCTCATCTTTTTTTAGGATGGGTATTTTTAAGACTTTATTTTTCTTTCTTTTTTTTAAATTATTTTTTTCTACCACATGGAGGCATTCAACAACCATGTGATTTTTTAAAGTAATCTCTACACCCAAAGTGGGGCTCCAATTCATGACCCCGAGATCAGTCGGATACTCTACTGATTGAGCTAGTCAGGCACCCCTAGTTTTATCTCCCTTTTAACAGCTTTATCAAGGCATGATTCACAAACTATACAATTCATCCATTTAAAATGTACAATGCAGTATATTTCAGTATATTCATAGAATTGTGCAACGATCGCTACAATTAATTTTAGAATTTTTTTTATTATGGCCAAAAAGAAACCCTGTACCCCTTAGCCATCAACCCGCAATCCCCGCTCCCTCTCCCCCAGCCTAGACAACCAATATTCTACTTTATGTCTCTATGGACTGGCCTATTCTGAATGTTTGATAAAAATGGAATCAGACAACATGTGGTTCACTTTGCTGGTTTTGGTTTTTCGACTCTCCTCTTCCTCTCTCCTGAATTCTGTCTTTTCAAGCTGCCCACATGCCCACAACTGAGCTTTGGGTTCTTTGACCCCTACTTTGCAGAAGCCGCTGTCATCACTCCTGGATTCAGTTGTTCTTAGAAAATCCTGCCTTTGCCATGGCCCTCCATGACACGTACATACATACCTCCCTACAGCCCTATCAGTGACTGTCATTCCAGCCTGTAGGTGAATCAGAAACATGCCAGAGTGTCTTGGACTGTGTTGCCTGAGAGCAGGGCTGCCTGATGATTTCAGGCGACGTCCTAGGCAGCCTCATGAGCTCATCAGCAGCGCCCCTTACCCTACTGCAAAATGTAAGAGCCAGAAAGTTTTCGAGGGGAAACTACATTGCAGTTCATATTTTGGATTGGATTCCACAGCCTTACGAAACATTTCTATCCCAAAGTCTTCTTCTATACTTAACCAGGTGAAAGGGGTGTTTTTCTAAATTGAATTTTACAGACTCAACAGTAGGGCTTTTGCCTTTAAAGCTCCATGGGTTACCGGTGACAACAAAACCTTTTTCCACACTGGCATTTGAGTGGGGAACTGAAGCAGAGCACTGAGCCTGTTTTCAACACACGTAGGTATACCAGAGGCTGTTCTCTGGCCTTGTTAAGGAAGTGGCCATCGTGTCCAGAATACTGTCTTCCTCATTAAAAAAAAATTAGAAAGAGTTTTGTTTTCCGTGCTTACAACATTCAGAGTTTAATCCTGTTCATCTAAAGGGGTTTCTCTCAAGCTTTCAGAGCATAATTTATGGCATTTTGCAAAGAAAAACACTTCTTCAATACTTGAAGCCTTTTTCTATGCATCTATTATGTGAATTAGTCAACTACAAGAACTGAGAAATAATCTCATTTACAATGCAAATATAACATTAGAACCCCCCACAAAAGGGGTAAAGTTAAATAAAACATTTCTTGATTTAAGGTACCTAAAAAAATAAAGCTGTCAAATACTTCTTATGTTAAAAGAGCTACAATAAAGATGTAAATTAGACAAAGGACCACAGTATCTTCAGTCACAGCAAATAAAAGCAGAACTATACAGACTACACTTTATTCTAAGGAGGCCATGGAAAGGCTTTTAGTACATGAGTGACATGATTTGGTTTGCTGTGTGGAGAATGATGGGAAGGGGCCAGAGTAGAAGCAGGGAGCCCAAGTGGAAAAATTACCTTGGTTGGAGAGATGCTTCTCAAGCTTCCGAGCACATGCAAATCACTGGGAAAGGGGTGGTCTTCACAAGCTCCTAGGGGAATATGATACTCCTGGTCATGGGCTTCACCTTGAGGTTCAGAGTAGGGCAGTAACAGCAGTGATGGTGGAGACAGATGGATACCCAAGGAATTTAGACAATAGGTTGGTAAGACTAGCTGATTAATCAGGAGAAGGAGATACAAGGATGGGTCCCATGTCTTTGAGCAAACAGGTTTATGTGTTCTGAGTAGTTGGTATGAAGAACACAAGAAGAGGAGGGCCAAGCGTGTGGGAGCAGATCTTGACCTTGGATAACACACAAATGGAGATGGCAGGATTTACAAGTTTTGAGCTCTAAAGAAAGGGCCAGAAATATAAAGTTGGGAGTCATCAGGATAACTAAATGGGTATAATGGGCCCAAGAGAGCAAAGAGGAGTAAGGATGAGGGGACCTGGAGCTTCCAGTATTTAAAGATTGAGTGAAATAGATGGAGAGAGCTGAGAGGGGAGAATGAGGCAAGGAACTGGAAGACACTCTGACGTTTGTGGAAGTGAGGAGATAGTTGGGATGGTAGCTGGGGAGTATGTGGTATAGTGGGAAGGTTGTCTTTTATCTTTCAAAATAGAAAAGACAAAAGTGCATTTAAGTGCTGATGGGAAAGACTGAGTAAAAAAAAACACCGGAAATCCAGTAATGATAGAAACTTAGAGGTCGTATGAGGTCCCTGAAAACAGAGGAGGGTTGTGAGAAATAGACTTAGATGCAAGGATAGGACATGTGCCATCTTGTACCAAGAAGAGAGGGTCAAGACCAATGTTAATAGATTTGTAGACATGGAGGTGAGAGATGAGACATCTGGCATCTGATGCCTTCTGTTCTTGGTGAAGCAGGAAAGAACATCTTCTACGATGAGGCAGAAATAGGGTGCTGGGCCCTGAGGGGAGCAGGAAGGATGAGCATCCAAAGTAGCACAGGTGGTCTCCAGGGTGGGCTGGGGTCCTGTATGAGACAAGCCATCTTACATCTACACCTGGCCTGCAATTTGCTGTGGGTGCTCAGTCTCCAAGGTACAAGAGAGTGGAGATGAACATTTGGTACATCTAGGTTGGCCATTGGCTGAGTGAATGTGTAAGAAAAGTCCAAAGAGAAACAGAGTTTGGTTTGAGCTGGTGAAAAGAATGTTCTATAGACTATAGGGCCTGGCAGCCAGTAGGTTTACAAGAATTGTACTCATTATTACAGAGAAGAGAGACAATTCTCAGCCTCTCCCTAGCCTTCCATCCCTCCTGCAAGTCCACCCTCACCTACAATCCCCACCCCCTCAAGATATCTGTGCTGAATATGGAGGTACTTTTGGAAGTAGCTGTGATACTTATTTTATATAGTCATTTATTTTTCAGTCATTCTATGTGTCCCCACTTCATTATTATCTGGGTGAGAATGCAGTCTCAGAAATTGGTTCTTTGTTCAGTTGTTCTGTTTACCACTGGAATAATGTTCTGTGTAGCTAATTCTGAGTTTCAACAAATGATACCACTTAAGGAAAGTAATCATCAGATGAACCACAGTATGTAATTTATTATAATCACAATAATTTTTTAAGATTCCTTATTGAGAAAATCACATTTTCTAAATATAGTGGCACTTAAGGTCTTTTTTATCCCCCTTTAGAGTGGTTTATTACTGTTACTAGTCTGTAAGGATTGCCTTTGGTGTGCGATCTGAAAATTAAAAGTTTCTGCAGAAGAAGTAGATTTCAACATAAAGGTCACATTAGGAATGAGTAGTGACAAAATCAGAAACATGTTTCAGTACAAGGAATTAGGAAGTTGGGCAAACAATGTTGCTTCTCTTAAGACCGAGTTTCTTCATCTGTAAAGCAAGGAAATTAGAAAATATGACTCCCAATAGACTCTGTGACTGTACTGTCCAAATAGTAGCCACTCCCCGCATGTGGTTACTTACATTTAAGTTTAAGGGCTCCTGGGTGGCTCAGTCCGTTAAGCATCTGACCCTCGACTTTGGCTCAGGTCATGATCTCGCGGTTCATGAGCTCAAGCCCCACATGGGGCTCTGTGCTGTCAGAATCCTTAGGATTCTGTCTCCCTCTCTCTCTGCTCCTCTTCCTCTTGCTCTCTATATCTAAAGATAAAAATAAAAATAAACTTTAAATTTAAGTTTAAATTCATTAGATTAAATAAAACATTCGGCTCCTCAATCACACTTACCACATTTCAAGTGTTGAATGGCCATATGCAGCTAGTGGCTACTGGACAGCATGGATATAGGACATTTCTACCACTGCAGAAAGTTCTGTTGGACAGTTCTGGTCTATAATTTCAGTGTTAGCACAACTGCAACAGAGGGAAGATGTTAAGATGCTTCCATAAGTCATCATGTTGTAATTTTCCACTTAATCATACTAGACAACATCGCCAGAATATATCTACATCTTACTTGGCCCAATAAATGGGGGCGGGGAGGGGGGAACTAAGGCAAAATGAACCTCGTGCGATGAAATAATCTCTAGGTAATGGAGAGAAAACACATTCCAACACCCTCCTGTGTTCCTTTCCTCCCTGCCTGCCCCTCTTCCTTTCTCTCCCACATTTTTTATTAGGTGCCAAGACTTGAGTCAGCTATTGAGTATTCAGAGATAATTGAATCTGTCCACTTGATCAGAGAGAGAAATAGATGATGACAATACAAAGCAATTGGTAAGAAATATGATAAAATGATCTTTGAGGTTCTTTAGAAATCCATGGGAAGAGTATCTAACCCTAACTAAAGAGCCAAGGGAAAGCTTTTCAGAAAGGGTGATACTTAAGGTTGGTGGTAAAAGATATATATGAGTTAAAATCGTTTCCAGGTGTGAATATTATGCTTTGCCATTAATTATGACCCTGTTAAAATGCAACATTTGAAAGAGCAATTTGAACAAAATAAATAACAAATAGTTTGGCAAAGTATTAGCATCACAAACTCTGCGGTATGTATCATTTGCAAAATCATGATCAAGGGTCGCCTGGGTGACTCAGTTAAGCATCCAACTTCAGCTCAGATCATGGTCTCACAATTTGTGGGTTCGAGCCCTGCATCGGGCTCTGTGCCGACAGCCAGCTCAGAACCTGGAGCCCGTCTTCGGATTCTGTGTCTCCCTCTCTCTCTGACCCTTCCCTGCTCATGCTGTCTCTATCTCTCTTTCAAAAATAAATAAAACATTAAAAATTTAAAAAAAAATCACGATCAAAATGTGAGAATGATGCCTTTCATGTATTCTGAAGGAGTACCTGCTTAACTCAGTCTTTTTAGCTGCCTCCTCCTTTGTATGAAAAGAACAGTGAGTTGATTCTGCTAATATGGTCCTATTCCCCTCCCCAAGTGTATTTATCAAGACTTTCACCATTTCAATAAATGTTGCCTCTCATATCTCTTAGTTTCTCAGACCAAAATCTTTGGAGTTGTTGTTTTGTGGGGTTTTTTTTTTTTAGTTTATTTATTTATTTTGAGGGGGGGTGCGGGGGGAGAGAACAAGCAAGAGAGGGGCAAAGAGAGGGAGAGAGAAAATTCCACGCAGACTTGGCACTGTCAGTGCAGAGCCTGACGCGGGCCTCAAACCCACAACCATGAGATCATGACCTGAGCCAAAATCAAGAGTCAGACGCTGAGCCGACTTAGCCACCCAGGAGCGCCAGCTGGAGTTATTCTTGATTTCTCTATTTCTCTTACACTCTACATCTATTCCTTCAACAAATCTTATTGTCTTTGCCTTCAAAATATATTCAGAATTACATCTCCTTTCCCTAGGTCCTGTATTACCTTTGTGGTCCAAACCACCATCACGTCTTGCCTAGAGAAGAGAAAAGGACTTCTCGCAGTTTCTTTTTACTGCTGCCTTTTCACTTTCAATTTTTCGCTCAGCAGCCAGAGTAACACTTTTAAAATTTGTCAGATCACATCGTGCCTCTGTTGAAACTCTTCAGATTCTCATTTCAGAAAGATCAAGTCAAAAATCCTCAACATGGACTGTAAGTCCCTACGTGATCTGCTCCAAGCCACTTCATCCCTTAACAACTCTCTCCTGTCTATTCAGACTGCTGTAGCCACACTGGCGCCTGGCTGGCTCAGTCAGTAGAATGTGGGACTCTTGATCTCAGGGCTCTAAGTTCGAGCCCCACGTTGGGTGTGGAGATTAGTTTAAAAAAATCTTTCCAATTGCTCTCTCAGTATAACCATCTCCATGATTGTTCTTTATCCTTATTCTGCTTTCTTTTTCTTCAGTGCACTTATCACTACTTGACATGTTATATATTTGTTTGTTTACTGGAATATAAACTCCACAAAAGCATAGATTTTGTTTACTGCAATATCTCAGGCCCTTGATCAGAATCTGACTCAGGCATATGCAGTTCATAGCTGTTAATGAATGAGTGAATGGGATTCACATTTCGTCTATAATTATATGACCTCCATAGACTATGAGTTCCTAATGACATGATTATATGTAATTTCCAGCCACCGGCTGATCACCTGGAAGGGAAACTCACTATAAATTAAGTTCCTTAAATATACATCCCTCATATTGAAAACTATAGGATCATAGGCCCCAAATGAATCTCTTTTTAAAAAAGTGTTTATTTATTTTGAGAGAGGCAGAGAGCACAAACCCACCCAAGTGAGACGAGGAGGGGCAGAGAGAGCGGGAGAGAGAGAATCCCTCTGTGTGGTAGCACAGAACTTGACACAGGGCTTGGTCCCATAAGACGTGAGATCATGACCTGAGCCAAAATCAAAAGTTGGACACTTAATCGATGGAGCCACCCAGATGCCCCTCCCCAGTGAATCTTAAACAGTATTCTAACATATAGCCATCAGGGAAGGCCTTGCTTAACACTTACACTCTTTGGAAAGGCTACCAGGAAAGAAGAATCCATCGTTTTCTCTGTTTAATAAAGTTTTGTTCTAGGAGATTCTTTCTTAAACCAAATCTAAATCTCATTTAGTTTTATTCTGGGATTAGAAGAATTTTAATAAATAAAATTTGTCAGTTATATCTTAATTATACCTCAGTTTTTAAACAAAAACAACTGGGGGTGCCTGAGACTCTCTCTCTCTCTAGCTCTCTCTCTCACTTTGCTTGAAATTCTCTCTCTCCCTCTGCCCCTCTCCTCTGCTTGTGTGTGCTTTTTCTTTCTCTAAAAAAATTAATTTTTTAAAAACAATTGTTTTAAGAACAATTGGTCAGCATATTTTTTCTCTCTTTTATTTCCTTTTTTAAAAAAAGTTTAATGTTTATTTATTTTTGAGAGAAAGACAGAGTGAGAGCAGAGGAGGGACACAGAGAGAGGAAGACACAGAATCTGAAGCAGGCTCCAGACTTTGAGCTGTCTGTACAGAGCCTGACACAGGGCTCAAACCCATGAACCGTGAGACATGACCTGAGCTGATGTCAGATGCTTAACCGACTGAGCCACCCAGGCGCCCCTATTTCCTTTTTCATAAGGAATCCATACTCATTGTAGAAAACACAAAGAATAAAATTATCCATAATAGTCAAAGATAACCTCTATAAATAGTCTTTTATATTTACATGTGTGTATACACAAATATTAATAAATATTTTATTGACATATAACGTATAAAGAAGTACACAAATCAAAAACAGCTTGATGAATAATTCAAAGTGTAACCACCAGTATAACAAGTCAAGTCAAGAAATAGCCCCCTCATTCCCACAATGAATCATTATTCCTTTTGTCCTCTCAAATTTAACTACTCTGGATATCTAACACTAGATTAGTTTAATTTGTTTTTAAACTTCATGTAAGTGTAACCAGATAGTACTCTATATGTGCAGTATTCTATTTACTTTCTTTTTTTTTACTTTATTTATTTATGTATTTATGTATTTATTTATTTATTATTGAGAGAGAGAGAGAGAGGTGGAGGGGCAGAGAAAGAGGGAGACACAGAATCTGAAACAGACTCCAGGCTCTGAGCTGTCAGCACAGAGCCCGACATGAGGCTCGAACCCACGAACTGTGAGATCGTGACCTGAGCCAAAGTCAGATGCTCAACCTACTGAGCCACCCAGGTGCCCCTCTATTTACCTTCTTTTATTCAACTTTGTGTTTTGAGTTTCAGTGTGTACACATACACATATACACACACATTACTTCCCTTTATTAAATCTCTCTTCAGGGGACCTGGGGGGCTCAGTCAGTTAAGTGTCTGACTTCAGCTCAGGTCATGATCTTACAGTTTGCGGGTTTGAGCCCCACGTCAGGCTCTGTGATGATAGCTCAGAGCCTGGAGCCTGCCGGCTTTGGATTCTGTGTTTCCCTCTCTCTCTCTGTTCCTCCCACTGCTTGTGCTTTCCCTCTTTCTCAAAAATAAATAAACATTTATAAATAAATAAATAAATAAATCTATCTGTCCTCAGTTGTATTTGATCAGCTCTTAAACTCATTGAATTTTTAAAGTTTTCAATTATATTTTTTATTTCTAGGACTTTCACTTATTTTTTATAGTTTCTACCTTTTCTAGAAAATTCTCCATCTCATTTAATTTCTTGAATATATTAGTCATGTTTATTTTACTGTTCCTTCTGATCACCTAGGTATCTCCTATGAATATGTTTCTATTATATATATTTTTTTCTCTTGGTCTTCTATCCGGTCTTACCTTCTTGTATGCCTGGTTATTTTTTATAGAGGGTCACATTGTTTTTGAAAAAATGTAGGGATGGATTGAGACTCTAGATGATGGTATCTCCTTCCAGAAAGGATTAAGGTTTACTTCTGGCATAGCACAGGCTAGGACAGACTGATCTAATTTATTGGGCTGATTTGAAGGTAGACTTATTCCTTGTGAGATTCACCTTCAGTTTTAGGATGTAGTGCTTTGAGGTCCCAACCAAAAGTATGGGTTTTGGGTCAGAACTTCTCTTCCTTAGAGAGCTCTGAAATCACAACTTTGCCAGGTTAGCCCTGTGACAGAGCCAAAACCTCTCTTTTACTCTTTTGTGACTTGATTGCCTCTTTCAAATTAGTAGTTGCCTCAAGGAGGAAAGCCATCCCACCTGCCCGGCCCTCCGCTTTCCTCTCTTCTAGATCTTGGCTCCACAAATTGCCATGCTAACTCGCTGATAACTTCAAACACATGGGTTTTTAAAAAATTTTATTGAGGGGCGCCTGGGTGGCTCAGTCAGTTAAGCGTCCGACTTTGGCTCAGGTCATGATCACACGGTTCGTGAGCCCGAGCCTCATGTCGGGCTCTGTGCTGACAGCTCAGAGCCTGGAGCCTGCTTCTGATTCTGCATCTTCTTCTCTCTCTGATCTTCGCTTGTTCATGC